CAGAGCGACGAGTAGGTGGGCCGTAGTCCTTTCGTGGTCCTCTAGTTCTGCGGATTTTGGGTGTAATGTCTTCTGTGTTTTCAGTGTTGGTGGGATCTGGATCTGGGACGGCTTTGATCGCATCTGAGTCTGCTGCTTTGATGTCGAGGAAGTCATAATCTTTGTCTTCCGAGTCTCCATCAATGAAATACTCCCCCTCAGCAGTGAGGGTGCGATGTCCGGAACCCTCTTCAAAGTGAACGTCTCGAGAGCGAATGATTTCGAAGGTTTCAGGGATGAGGATTCTGTACGTTCCGTGACTTTCCAAATCGTAACCAATCAGCCTGCCCTTAATTCCTCGAGGCTCAACCTTATCTCGACCCCATTCCTTTGGAACGTGTACATATGCCACGCATCCCCAAACTCGAAGAAACCCAGCATCTTGTTTCTTCCCAGTGAACACCACCTCTGGAATCTTTCCAGGAATCCTTGCAGATGGGAGGAGATTATTTGTTCTGTCTGCAGCCTGCCAAGCTTCTGCCCACCATTTCGCTCCAAGTCTAGCATCAAGCATCATCACCCTAACCATCGAAGTCTTATGGCCAATACCTCGTTCAACTGTTCCGTTAGCCGATGAGGAGTATGGAGGGCCAGGGATGAAGGTAATCCCAACTGACTTGAGCCAGTCTTGGACAATATTACTCCAGAACTCGGGGGCGTTATCAGTGCGTAAAAAGACCATCCGCATTCCAGTAACGGCTTCTGACTGGAGTTTGTAGAATTTCAAAGCCTCCCGGATTGTTAGAGCTAAATGATTCTCCAAGAAGAAGGATTTCTGGCGAGCCGAAGCCGCATCGTCAAACAGCATTGCGTACCGTGCACCACCAACCGATCGGACTCTCGCTGGTCCCCAGAGATCAACATTAGTTCTGCGAAGAACCACTGTTTCAGTCTCTATTTCAGCATCGAATGCACGCCGTTTCATGTTTGCTTCAATACAGTCCTCACAATCCCCATGTAAGTGCTCTTTCTCTACCAATTGGATTCCAGTCAAGTCTCCGTTTGCAGATGCTTCCCGAATTCTTCATTCGTTTGCATGACAGAAGCGTCGGTGCATAGTCGACATTGGGACTGGGCTTCTGAGCGACTTTGCAATGAGTGCAGCGGGTATATTGGTGATGAACGATCCGGAAATCAGGTAAAGACCTCCATTTTCAACCCCTTCAAACTGCTGATCTCCGTTAGGGTCAACAAAGCGAACCCGACCTCCTCCAAAGACAATTTTCCATCCAAGCTTATCAAGTCTGCTGATGGAGACAAGGTTTGCTGTGATATCAGGGGAATGGTAGGAGTTTCGGAAGGTAAGAGTATTACTCCTTCCATTATGTACGACGTTTATCAAGACATTCCCCACACCAACAATCTTGAAACCAGATCCCTCTTTAGCTGACTGCCCCACAGAATCAGAGACCTTCTCATATTCAGTGAAGTTTGCTCGGTTTTTGAAGAAGTGAGCGGTGGCGCCTGAGTCGGCAAACAAGACGGATGACATGGAGTCTGGGACACCAGCAGTAATCAGTCCTGCACATTGCGTAGCTCGCTGGATGGAGGGTAGGTTTTCTCGGAGTATATCCTTGAGAGGTCGGTTTTCAGCCATCAATGCGAGATGTGTTCCTGGTAGGATTACTCCACTACCGGGTACTGCAATATGAGCAGTCGGAGTGGTACCTGGAAGAGGTACAGTCCTCTTCCCCTTCCACCATTCCGGATACTGACCCTGAATCCCACCCCCTAGACTCCAGCATTTCTCGATGGTGTGGCCACGAGGGTTCGGACACTGGCTGTTCAAGCAGACAATATTGGATTTAGGCCTCGGACCATTTACTTTGAGCGAGCTCAAGGTGTCGACTTGTGCTTGTAGGGCTAGTACCTGGGCTTGGAGGGCTTGTACAGAGTCTTCCTTGGGAATAACGGAGGTACCGGGAACATTACGCTGTCCTCGTGTAAGTTTTCACTCTCCATGTGTTGTGAGCTCAGTGATGACTTCGACGAGGTTTGTTTCCTTATAGAGAGGAGCAGTGATGTGTTCCCAGGTTTCGGGGAATGAGTCCAGCAGGGTAGTAATAAATCTCTCTTGGTTGATGTTGGATCCAGCATCGCGCGCCTTCTTCCAGAGGGCTCGCATCTTCTCAATGTGTCCATCTTCTCCAGCAACTTTAGTCCCCTCTACATAAGTGATGTCGTCTAACGCTCGTTCATGGATTTTTCGAATCCGGTCACTAGGTTTTCCATACTGGTCGTTCAAAAACTTCCAGATACTGGCAGATGATTTCGAGAGGTCAATACCGGAGCCGTCGATGTCAACGACATTGGATAAGATGGAGGAATGAGCAGCAGATTCACGGGCTTCATATTCAAGCTCGGAAGGGTTAAGGGTATGAGTATGTGATGGTTTAGGATCAGAAGTTGCATTTGGGTCAGGGGATGGTAGCGGCGGGGTCGGTATGTTGACTTTGCCTTCCCAGTAGTTCAGCATTCCTCTTGGTTTGCCTTGGATCAACATCTGTTGGTGCCATGATTTGAAGTTCTCGGGTCCTCGAAGATGGTTTTGTTCACTAAGAGTGAATGGAAGGTTACTGTTCCCTCCAGTACTCGAGGACATGATGAGAATAGGGGTAGGATGAGCCGTTTGGTATTGGTATGTATTAGACTGTAAGCCAGTATATGCGCTAGCACTTCTTCGGGGCCTTATAACCTGTGAAGACAAGAGATTGTAAGTATCGAATCTCAGACGGTTACAGTCGGGTAAACGAAGGTAAACGGCTTTTATTAGATAAGAAATCTACTCTACCTGTGAAGACAAGAGATTGTAAGTATCGAATCTAAGTAGAGTAGTAAGTATAATGTCCATAAAATGAATAGATATAATAACACACCTCAGACGGTTACAGTCGGGTAGACGAAGGTAAACGGCTGAGGTGTTTAACAACGAGAACAGGTATATAATGAGTCGGCGCAGTCGGTATTAGTAATGAAACATAGATATGATCGAGAAGCGGAAGATAATAAGTACGAATAGCTGTAAATAAGAAAGGGAAGAGAGGGAGAATAAAAGAAAGGTATATTACAAGGGATCATACTCTGACAGAAACCCTGAGCTGAAGACTGTTCTCTCCAAAGGGATGAGTCGGTTTGCTCCCAGACTTCACAAGATACCGGGGTGGGATTAACATTGATACCCCATTCGGAGACTGGCCAGACATTGATCGGTTGAACAGGATGACATCCTGAGCAGGTCCGAATCCTTGATTCTCGATCTCTCTATCAATCATAGGTTGATCAAATTTGCCATGGATGGGTCCTCGAGGTTGAATAAAGTGCTGAAGTATGTGTCAAGCATTTAGACAGATACAACAAAAGTAAAGGATAGCTTACCTTATCGACCTGTGCAATTGCGGCAGTTGGAGCATATACCACACACTACCATGTAAAATTAGGATCGCTTCCACATCATCACGATTCACAAAACTAACTATCTGTTCCGTACTAGCTTGGATGCTCAGTATTTTGAGCAAAGAAAACATTTCAAAAAAAGAACTTACGGGTCATGTCCAACTCCAGATTCATTGTCGAGGCAACCATATCAGTGCTCCTCCGCAGCTTGCGTAAGCGCTGCAGTGAGCGTTCCTGCAGTGTTGAGCTCCCGACAGAGCACCTGAGTAAAGATATTGTTTAGCGATCTTTTGTACAGACTTCGACATCATTCCAAAATTAGGGAGAAACTCCCACTGGTGAGTGTCGGTAGGAATCCAACTACTTCAATGGATGAAGACTGAGCTGATGGTTGAGTTGCCTGGGGCTGGTCTTTTGGACGCAGAGGAATGTTTAAAGCCATGCTCGGTGTAATAAGAGCGAAAGCAAAAATGTTGAAAAAAAGGCAAAAAAGAACCATTGCGAGTTATTTGGGATGGGATACTGACTCAAGAGACCAGCTCTGGAGACAAAGTAGAAGCAAGAAAGAAAGCAAGACATGCAGAAAAAACACAATCTTTTTATATCGCCCAGCCTTCGCTTGCAGTGATACGAATCACCTTGCGTTTCTTGTCATCTTTAGTCGAGTCTTCACAAGCCCCTGGAAACTACTGAACCCCGCCCGGCCAGATGCTCTAAATGATGCTATGTTTTGGGCCCAAATGACGCTATTTTGGACAAGGATTGGTCACAGTCCAAAAATTTCTCCCAGAAGTGTAAAATTTCCTTTTTTGCTACTTATTGAGGGTCTTGACTCTTGAGAGTAGAAGCTTACTAGCTTACTAGCTGTTATCAAATCAAGTTTTCACCTTTTGAATGTTATTCCCCCATGAGTCCCAAAAATATTCCTCAGCCAGCTTGAATGATGCTATATCCTATCCTATAACAGACAAGCTCTATTTGACACTATTTTCGGGCAGGGATTCAGCAAATTTTGGGTCCCAAATGACACTATTTTGGGTGGGGTTCTGCAGTAGTTTCTGGGGGCTTGTCTTCACCCTTCTTCACCCCAGACACAAAAACAGGCTACATGCTGTGTAGCACCAGGAGTACGACGGAGTATGTACTTATTAGAGAGAGTCGGGATGTTTGCATCAAATTTGAGATCACCAATATGATGCATTTCACTGGACAGTGTTTTTGTTCAAATCGTCTTTGTGATATCTTTCCCCTGGTTGGTTTGATATCAACTGTGCAGTCAGAACCATGTTGACACAGAGATGTGCAGATGGAGCATTCTAAAAAGAGGGATTTTATTTCCCTCAGATATCGAGACAGGAGATGGACATCTAGATGTGAAAGCTTGTGAAACTTTCTTACGTCTATGATCATGAATTCAACAACTCACCTTCTGTTCAACATCAACTGTTATGAAACTCTGACCGCTACAGCCTTCCTGCGAGTGACTTCCTGAATTCGTCTTGAGGCCTCAGAATCCACGCGGAACTTCGAACTTGTGAAAAAATAGAAGAAGAGAGGGAACAAAAGAGTGTCCCTGCCAGGATTCGAGCCTGGGTTACCACGGTTTGCGACGAGCAATGCTCTACCACAACGTGGTGATCTAACCACTAATCTACGGGGACTTACGGTCACACGGTCCTGTTTGTCATTCAATTCATTATGGTCGCTCTGTCCTGCATCACCTGGCCCTGAACCACTTCTTCTATTCTCTTCTATTGCTGAACTTGTCTGGTATCGAGGGCAACGGATTTCTTGATACGAAGGATGCTTGTTCATTGACTGTTGAAGGATTTATTCATCTGCAATTTTCGGCTAAGGGTCTGAAAGCAATTGAGAGCGCACTCAGAGCATACTGCTTTCAGTGGTTTGAGCCCTTAGCTGAATATTCAGGTTTTGCAGATGTTGGTTGAATATTGATATTTTCATTACAGTCAGATGACTATATGTTGTACATCGTCCAAAAGCATTCTGGGTTGTACAGAAACATATTGGAAGAGTAGAACAACAACACAAGCAAGGTGTGTGTCCTCCGGAGAGGGCAATTTATGCTACTTTTGCAGTAGTTTCCGGGGGGCCTATTCCATCTTGTCAAGAATCCCAAGGCATCGTCATTATGTCGGGGGGTGTCTTAGCTTAGAACTTACCTGAACGTTTCTTCCAAATTCCGACCGGTACGATATATTTACACTTGCACATGCACTGCACAAAACTTTTTACATAAAAGAACACGAAAAAGTTCAACTTCTTCAACCAGTGGAAAATTTTAATCAGATCCAGGGCCTTCATCTGCTATCGACCTCCTAACGCCAGAATCATCATTCAGAACTTCAGAAAAATGTCACCGGATAGTCGTTTTGTTATCCCGGAACCATAACGCCTGTCCAAAGCGCAGCCGTGTTTAGATCTGAAAGCGCGCATAGAATTTAGGCGCCAATGTCATGTACGTGTTCTCGAATGTGATTGAATGATTCCTTTTTTCGTTCTGAATCTCCTGTATCTCTATAGGCATATTTTCTCCAAACTATCGTTCAGATGTCATTGATTTCATCCACATCTCTTTGTGGAACACGCCAGCTGCCCTCAGCTGCCACTCTAAATATGTTAAATGAAAAGTTTCTGGCGCGTTGGTCGTGAGTTAGCCGACTTCAATTTCAAGTTGCTGATTGACTCTAATTAGGTGCTTTATAGATTCTTAAATCGCTTTCCCCGATTGTAGAAAACCAACATTCTTACAAGGAAGAATGCCTTTTGGGGTAGTATATCCGCTTCCATTACTATAAGAACGCTTAAGAAGGTGAGGGTCAGTTATTGCTGCTCTTTCCTTCCTTCATCCGCTTTTACAGTCAGCTTGCTGTTGACCCAAGCAGCCTCTTGCTCACAACAATGTCAGAAGCTACGAGCCCATTGGACAAGTTTCCATCAATCTTCCGCCGTAGCACCAGTATCTACCCAAACAATGCTCGTTTCTCTCTCCGTAAATCATCGTTTGCACCTTTTGATTGCCAGAATTGTTTATAGGGAACGGCTAATGGACACCAAGCAAAGGCAGATAGTGCGACGACTTCCTCACCTGCTCAGCCATTCAAAAAAGCCAACACGCATTTGACTTTTGAGCAATCTGGACTGGTGAGTTCGACGTGGCGTTTGGGAAATTCGAAGCAAGCTAAATAATGATGACCGTTTCTGTCCCGCGTTCCTTTTCTCAGTCTGCCGCGGCGGATTTCGTTAGGCACAAAGAGGCGATCGATGATAGGAAATTGGCGGTACGGGTGTTGTATGATCTCTGCACAAAGATGTGATTGATCACTCGTTCCCCTAAATTTCAACGCAGCTGGAACATGGACTGTCCTTGCTTTCCAAACTGCCCCCAGGCGACTTTGCCCAAAAATTACAGGACGACGTTATCAAACTTTGTACGTTTTGACTTTCATTTATTTTTTTTGCATCTGGGAATCTTCTCAGTTCTCACCCCTCACCAAATGTCTTCCTTCTTCCTCTTTTTTGCCTCCCTTGCGCCGACCCACGCTCTCCACTTACATAGTGTATAACGATCTCTCGCATCCCCCCGCTACTTTAATTGGAAACAAGTACGCATGGCGTTCCGCGGATGGATCTGGGAACAACATTGGAGACCCAGATCTGGGGAAAGCGGGAGCTACTTATGCGCGATCGGTGCAACAAAGTCATCCGCTGTCTCCGAGCGAACTTCCTGACCCAGGATTAATCTTCGATACGTGAGTTTTTGGTTAAATGAATAAGGAACGAATCGGCTGACTACGTCTGTGCTTCAACTTTGTTCTCTTGGTCCTTTCATTGCGTTGCAGGCTCTTAAAGCGCGATGGTGTACGTTGGTGTCAAGTCATTGCAGAAATATCTACTGATGCTAGTGGCGTTATCTTTTACAGTTCCAGAGCCACCCTGCTGGGCTTTCCTCGCTCATGTTTTCATTCGCCGCTTTGGTTATTCACAGGTGGGTTCTATTTTGCCTCAGTTCGGTTCGAGTATGTGCTAATGTTACCGATAGTGTGTTCCGAACGTCACATACGGACGTCAACATTAACGAGACATCTTCCTATTGCGATTTGGCTCCTCTTTATGGCCATAACCAAGAGACCCAGGACCGAGTTCGTAGAAAGGAAGGTTTAGGGCTATTACACCCTGATTCGTTTGCAGAGGATAGGCTACTCCTGCTTCCTCCTGCAGTATGCGTTCTATTAGTGCTGTTCAATCGGAACCACAATGTGAGTATGACAGTCCTTGTTTTACAATTCGTCAACTAACTTGCCTATTCAGTACATTGCGAAGAAACTCTTTGACATAAACGAGCGGAAGAAGTACAAAGATCCTTCCACTCTTTCTGGTGATGCACTCGCTGCTCAGGATGAGGAGCTGTTCCAGACCGCGCGCTTGGTGAATTGTGGCTGGTTCGGCACAGGTTCGGATTCTCGAATGCTCTCACCTATTGTTATTCTGATGTTTTCCGTTGGACAGTCATATTTTCTGATTATGTCTCGTGTATTCTGGGTCTGGTAAGGCAAGGGAGTAATTGGAGCTTGGATCCCTTTGGAGTAAATATTTTTGAGCATGTGCGACTTGTCCAGATGATTTACCATGGCTGACAGGAAATGAGAAACTCTGACCACTCTGAATTCGAAAGAGGACGGGGAAACAGCTGCAGTGTGGAGGTGGGTCGCATGATCTTGAATTTCGGATACCTTGATTCTGAATTTGCCGTAATTGCAATTAGTTCAACTGTCTTTACCGTTGGCATGCGACCACAAGCAAAGAAGACGAGCAATGGACTTTGGAGAAGTTGCAGCAGATCTTCCCGGATAAGCCTATAGAGGACTTGACGGCTATGGACTTCGTTATCGGGGCAAAGAAAGCCATGGCTCAACTGCCCGATCTCAGTCACTGGGCTATTGGCGAGTATGTGCTATGCTACCATTTCTATGTATTTCTGCTGATACAAGTTCATGTCCTATCCATAGCTTGAAGAGACAAGAAGACGGTTCCTTCCGGGATGAAGATTTGGCTAATTTACTCAAGAATGCGTGAGTGTTGATTGACTGAGTTATCCGAAGATGTATTAATATCAGCAAATAGCACTGAGCATCCTGCAGGAGCTTTCCGCGCTCGCGGTACGCCAGGTGAGTTTTACTCATTGCTTTCTCATGCTTGCTGTTTATTCATCTATTCACTCTCATTAGAATGCATGCGGCTTCATGAAATCATGGGGATCACTCAAAATCGCGCATGGGGTGTGTGTTCGTTGAACGACTTTAGGAAGTATTTAGGTCTCAAACGTGAGTCTTGTGCCATCGAAACCGTATTATTTTTGCTGAAAGAGACCTCGAACAGCTTATAGCACTTTCTTGGAATGGAATTCGAACCCGGAAATCGCTCATGCTGCAGAGAAGTTGTACGGAAATATCGAATACCTGGAGCTTTATGTTGGTTTGCAAGCTGAGGAAGCTAAACCTGTGGTGGATGGAGCTGGGTTATGTCCTGGTGAGAGAACAACTGCATACTTAATTCCCTCAACGTGCCGTACTGATGTCATGATTTTCTTCTTTTACAAGGCTACACCATTAGTCGTGCAATCCTTAGTGATGCCATCGCACTCACCCGTGGGGACCGCTACTTCACGCACGACTTCACCCCATTCAACCTTACTGCGTGGGGTTTCGCCGACTGTCAACGCCAGCCTGATGCTTTTGGATTCGGGAGTGCCTTGGGCCGACTCTTCCTTCGTACCCTCCCCGAACAGTTTACGGAGAACAGCACTTATTCGTTTTTCCCTCTCATGACGCCTGAGGCAATGACTGTCTTTTTGAAGGATCTGAATCTCTCCGATCAATATGATATGAAACGACCGATGTCGAGAAATCCGGGAGTGGTGGCGATGGATTATACGCAGGTGGGGAATATTATCAAGGATCCGAAGTTCATTGCGCATTATGAAAAGCGGGCGAAAGACGTCGTTTCTGGGAAAGGGTGAATTTTTACAATTTGTCTCGTGTGGGAATATCCTTATTGAGTTTTGGTTTCTTTCTTCGTTCTGTGCAGCTTCTTTAGTGCACCCGAAGACCGCACAGAGCAGAAACGGGTTCTCAGTGCTCTAGCTGGAACTCCTGAGGCTTCGGCGGAATTGACGAAATTCTTTTTCGAGAAAACACAAGAACTCATCAAGAGCAACTCGTTCAATCTTTCTGGATCCAAGACACGTTCCGTGAACCTCGTTCGGGACGTTCTTAAGCTTGTTCCTATACATTGGATCGCCGATCTCGTGAGTGGGTCTTTGTGATCAGTGCGCTCACCCCCGGTTTCATTCTGTTTCACCCCGAATAGAGCGGGTTGAAGATCAAGAATTCATCGTCCGATGATGGTGATTTCACGGCCACTGAGTTATATGGTATGCTTGGGGATATCTATTCGTATGTATTCCTTTAATGTTGAGTAAGTTCGTTGCTGACGGGTGGACGATATGTATCCAGCTATATCTTCTTAGACGTCGAGCTCTCGAAGCTCATGGTCCTCAAGGAACGGGTTCAATCTCATGTAAAGATTCTTTTGGAAAAGATCGAGACCGGACTAGGAGGATCGCTAAGTAGAATGGTAT